CTGTTTGACTGCTGGAGCCAGGGGACGTCTGGAGGGGGGATTGGGAAGAAAAAGTTACTTTCTTTAAGTGCCTCCGAGATAAATCTGTGCTGGATGCTGGAGACTTCCCGGGAGAAATGCTGGCTGTTACATCTTCTCAGGCTTCCCCTGTCTGCGCACTAACCCAAAGACCCGGTATTTCTTCGTAGGCTCGCTCGTGTCTGTTTAGTAGCAGTAATGATATTAAGTCTTTGCTCTGATGTTAAAAAAAAGTACCTCTGCTCAGGAATGTTGTAAGCCAAAAGTAATTTCTTAAAGATGTGTGCGCAGTCTCTGAAGTTGTGCTAGCAGAAATTCTTTAAGGTGAAGCGTACAGAGGTGGGGGAAGGAAAAATCTCTTCTCCCCAGATACAGAGTTTAAATGCAACAAAATGAACGAAGTCGGTACAGAAGTTCTTAAAGTCTAAGAAATGCAACGTGGGATGTGGAGCAGAGCGAGGGTTCATATTTGGTTTTGCCCTTTTCATTTGACTCATTGGCATTCACGCCTGACTCCCAGGCATCCTCTGGTTGCTGTGAAATGTCCCCCTTGGCTCAATGCAGTTTGAATTTTTGACGGCATTATAAAGAGTCCAGCTGTCACTTTTGCTGATCTTGATGGGAGATGGGTGCCGGTTTAATGAGTCAAAAGTATGAACCAAAGCGCCTAAAAAAAATCTTTTTCTTTTCTTTTTGTGCTTGACTGAATCTGTGTCTGAGCTGAGCAACACCCTCGGACCCTCTAAGCGAATTCACGTAAATCACAGCTAGATCTGAACCGTCTCAGTGGCTAAAATAAACGAATGGACGAGAAAGAAGGAAACGGATTACAGCAGCAGTGCGTTTCTCGAGAAGACACAACGCTCAGGGTTTGGGAGGGGAAAACTTTCCCCCTCTTTCTTAAAAAAAAAAAAAAAAAAAGAAAATAATAATAATAACGAGTCTAACAATTTCTCTTGCTAGGAGTCTGAAGGTGCACCGGCGGGGCTGTCCCGATCCGCACCTCTCAGCAAAGTTGTCTGCTGTGTGCCTTTCCACAATATCTGATTATTCTCTTCTCTCTAAATAGCCCCCTCCTGTCCCCGGTGACTTTGAAGGATCCTTGTTTTATCAGTGGAGATGGCTGAGTGAGCACTTCTGAAACAATTAGCGTTAGGATTTCAAGCTAACAATAAAACTGTTTTCACTTTACTGCACCTTTTTTGAGGATCTGTTAATCTAATTGGCATGAAACCAAGCGCACATGTCTTTGGCTGGATGGCCCCCTCCCTCCGCAGCACCCCTCTCTCCTTGATACTTTATAAAAATAAACGGGAAGCTGTGCTCTGTGCAGCTCTGTTAGCTGTTCCCCGGCTGGTAACCCACCCCTCCCGGGCAGAGAACTCCCCGGCGTGCTCCCTCCACCCGGCAGCCCCAGATGTGCCTGTCGCATGAAAGGGTGAGGAAATCCATTTAGAGGGTATTAGGGACACGACGACGGCGGCCGACAGCCGCGGGCGGCCCGGAAAAAAAGGGGCGGCGGCGAGGGGAAGGTTAGGCAGGATTTTTAATGTTCCCATGTTAACAGCAAACCCCATCCGTGAATAGGTCGGAGCTTTTCTTTCCGTGTTCACTTCATTAACATTCCCACGACTACCAAATCTCTGCTCGCTCTCATCTTCTCCTCCCTCCCCCATCCTCTTTAAATCCGAGGGAGAAAACGAATGCCCATCACTGAAATGTTTGTAAGGGTTTCCTACCCAGAAAATAAGAAAAGCGGTCAAGGCTCCCCCTTTCAGCGTCCGGCACATCAGTAAAACACCCTAATGAGCAGTGGCCGGGAAGACTGCTAGGACCTTTTCGTTCTGAATGAGTTGCAGTCTATGTAGATGATGTTATTGCAGGTTGCTTTTCTCCTCGCTAACTTATCGAGTTTCATATGGTTTTCTATTTATTTATTTTTTTGCCTCTTAATAAAAAAGGATTAATGTGGTTTTCCTGTTCAAATATTTCTTCTTCTCATTCTCCTGCCAGCAGAGTTTGTTTAAACTAGTGTCTGTCTTTCTAAATTAAGAAGATCTCTTTGCTAGAAACATGCAAGTAGGCTTTTCTTCTCCTCTTCTGGGTCATTTAAACGCTCTCATGTTTTAACTAACAAATGGATGTGGGTCTCCAGCGCTAGACCTATAAAGCAGACACTGATTTCTAATATGTGTAATGATTTTCTAATGCAGAAACGTGGGGCTGAGCTCATCTAAGTTTGCGGATGGAAAGCAGGGTTTATAAATGGCTTAAGGAGAGCACAGCGCGTTGGTTTGCTTAATTATTTAACCTTGGTTGTCCCCTCGTCCAGGATGACGCTCAGAAGGTAGACAAGCCAGCAGCGTCTTCAAAGGGAGCTTGAAGCTTTTCCATGTCTCAGGTCTCCCTTCTCATCTCTCTCCCCTGGGGTTCCTTGTGTGATTTCAGATGTTGACGAGTGCGCAGAAGCTACGGATGACTGTCACATCGATGCAATTTGCCAAAACACACCGAAATCCTACAAATGCATCTGCAAACCGGGTTATAAAGGCGAAGGGAAACAATGTGAAGGTAAGGGCAGCCGGGCACCTCTCCTGTCTTTCCTCCCCTCCCTTCTCTTATTTGTTTGCTCTTTAAAAGCTTTTGTAAATAGCTGAATTCCTGAAACGATTAATGCAGATTTACAGCTGCTTAATCTCAAATCTCGGTGTTTATTGGCAAGCATCCCCTGCTGCTTTTGCTGATTGTCCGGCATCACAAACATCGTGTCCTCCAGCCCACTTTTAAATATAAAAACGGGGAGGGCGTTGTCCCCCACCCAAGCTAGCTGGGTTTAACACCGGCTTCTCCCGGCCAGCTCCGGGGCTCGAAGCGCCGCGCGGAGCACGTGGGGCCGCCCC